TTTTTTTGCGTTGAAATATTTTCACATTTGTCCTTTCAAGTAATCATTTACAAGTCATTATTGTTAATATAAGTCTTCTCTAATTTCAAATATTCTACTATAGTATTTTCGTTTCAAAAATAGCAAAATATGGCCGGAGCCAAAAACAAACCTTCAGGCTCTAAGCCAACTGTTTCGATCGTTTCATTATAACAGATGAGAATAAAAAGAATCTTTTTGAAATTAATGGGACAAATGGTAATATATTTGATAGGTTGAAATCTGTCCTGAAGTTTCTCTCTTTGCCATCCTATAAATCTCTCTCTTTTTACAGTCTCACAATCCATAGTATGCATAGATAAAATCATATTTTAGTGTCAAAATTCAAAACCTTATTGTTTTTTTTTCGTATTATAAAATGAAAATTTTCATATTGAAGAAGGATGACAATTTCTTAAATTTTAAATAATTTACGAGGATTTTATCCATTAAAATGAAACCGGTGAAGATTTAAATGCTTATTTCGAAAGTAGCAAGTGATATTAATATTGAAACTTTTGTGAAACATTTTTAAGCATCATTCTTTGTAGATTAGTTACTTAACATTTTAGGCTTAAATGAAAATATACATATGGAGAGCCTTAAAGATATCGTAATTTTCACTCTCAAGCTCATTTGGTTGAATAATTTAACTAAACTTTTCCTACCTTTAAGAACACAACTTGAAAAATAACAGTTACACAGAAAAGATTTTGCGGAAAATGAGAAGGCAAAATTCGTAAATAAAATAATTGTGCATTGTTAAAGTTTCATTTATTCCAACTTACAAAATTCACATCTAAAGTATCAACTCACACGTTGAACAAAATTCACACAATCTAAAGGAGAGCGAAAATTTTTTTATTTTGGTTGTTTTCTTTTGAGAGAAAAAAAATGGAAATGGATTCACTTTTTACATTTTTGGTTTTTTTTTTACCTTCAAATAAATAACACGTTGTGCGGTATATTGAGATTTTTTGAGGAAATAAATAGACGAGAAATTTGAAATGACCGCAAGAAAATTTTTTTTCTGTCATTCTGAAAATAATTTCTCAAAGGATGAGTAATTTCTCAAAAAAAAAAAATTCTCAAAGGGTTGACTTTTGAAATAAAATTTCTAAAATTTAATAAGCAACGAAAGCGTGTACGCGAAGGAAAGTTTTTGCTGCTTGCTATTTTAATTAATTTTGCATAACACCTACTCACTGTGCTAAAATATCTTAAGCTTTTCAAAGATAAAACAAAATATTTAACAAATAATTTTTGTGAAATCAACAATATTCCATTCCGTCCGCATATTTCATTTTGAAAACCAATGAATACTGCCTTTTCTTGATAAGAAGATAAAAGTTGGAATTCCGACATTTGCCTGAACCCCCTTCGCTTTTATATTATTTATTCGTAGAATAACTAAAACTGCATGAAATGGAAAATTTAGACAGAAAAAATTCAATTCGTGTTGTTGTCCAAAAAAAGTAGCCATCAAATTAAATTGAATTTTTGAGACTTAATTAAATTTTCATTCACTTTTTCCTAAGCTTCTTGCTATTGGAAAAGCATTTTACAACAACATTACAACTATTCTCCTTCTGCTCATCCAAATAGTTTCTTATAATTTTTTTCGATGCTAGATGGATATCATTGTATGCTTAGGATTTAGAAGATTGTCGATTGTTGGAATCAATCGATACTTCATTTTAAAGTACTATTATGTAGCATTGGTTTGCCCATATATCTTTTTTTCTTTAATTGTAGAAATTAAAAAAAAAGTGTAATAATTTGATGAAATGTATGAACATACATTTCGAGAATAGTAACGTTCCTTTCAAAAATTAATATTTGAATTTTAATTTGGCATTAAGTTCTAAAGACTATAATATCATAGAGAAGCTAAGGCGTTTTGCAGGTAATAAACAGTGGATTATTAATTCATTCTGATTTCTAAACTGCAGCACAAATTTTTTTCAATATAAAACCATAGAAATTAAAAAAACAACTGAATTAAATTAGAAGTTTTATAAACTGGAGAGTCCGTGAACTTCCAGAAAGAAACTGCAGAAAGAAATTTATCTGTTAAAATATTTTCAAATTATCTATTTTGTGCATTCATTCCATGAATGTTTACTTATCAATTTACAATGATTTTTCTTCCATGACATTATTTGATCATTTATTTCAAGACTTTCATTTAATTATGATGTTTGAATTTTTTTCCGATAAGATGTGAAATTGGATGAATTTCCTTATTATTGATCGTATATTTTTCTGTTCATATGGAATCGTAACCGAAATTGCATCATCAGGTCAATCCGGCTAATATCTGTCCAGCATATTTGTAATAGGGGTTATTATCAAACCATTATATTCCATCGATAAACTCTTTTACGTTATCCTAATTAATAAACTTGGAATTTTAAAGTATTTGTCGTGAAAGTTTTTGTTAGCTTTATTCTAATAGATTCTTATGAGGTATTCAGTAGAGGAATTGCAATTCTGTTGAAATGTTGGTCCTTTGATTATGAAATAAGAGTTGAGTCCTATTCCAATATGGTTGGTCGTAGCAGAAGAACGATGTGAAGACACGCGTTGAATTGTACTTCAATGCGAGTAAAACCTCAAACTCAGGTAATTAAACCATAGCAATAATAGTAAAACACAATATTAATACATGAAATAAGCGCAGAAGTAAACCAAACGCATAACCCCAA